GGTGTGCGGGTGCGGGTGGGCGGCCCGGCGCGCCCCGAGCCTGCGCAGCCTGTACAGCATCTGCAGGGACATGCACTGGTGGCTGCGGCAGGACCACAAGAACGTGTGCGTGCTGCACTGCACGGTGAGTGTGCGCCGCGTTAGAGGAGGGCAAGGGGCTGTGGGGACGGAGAGCCATGAACCCCGGGTGTCAGATGGGGCAGTGTCCTGGGTGGTGGCCCGGGTGGGGAGTGGGGCACCAGCAGCCTGCCCCTTCCTGGGCCAGGGACTGGGGGTGCTGGGCTGGCGCATGCCCCCGGCAGCGTCTGGGTGCCCAACAGGCCTCCCCTCCAGGCCCCTGGGCATTAGCTGCTGCTGGGGAAGCTCCCCACACAGGTGCAGCTTGCGGTGGCCCCATGTGCATTCTCTCGTCTCCCCTCGAGGCAGCACCCCAGGGCTCTCCACTGCCCTGCCCCGAGGCCGCTGCCCCGGCACCCACCTCTGTCCCTCCTGACGGCAGCTGGGGACCCCAACCCCACTGCGCAGAGAGGCTGAGGTGTGTGGCGTCGCACGGCACCTGCCGCGTGGGGCCGAAGGTGGGCACAGCTGTCCTGGTGCTGGGCAGTCGCACGGGAGTGACACCAGGAGGGCTCAGGGAGGGGTGCACGTGGGGGCAGTGAGGCAAGCGTGTCCCGTTGGAGACCCCGCGTCCCGTGCCGTCACGAAGGCGCCCATCTGTGTGGACGCGTGTCTGCACGTCCAGGATGTGCTCTGCCCGGGAGGCCTGCGGTCTGCCCCCGGGAGGCGGTGCTGGGCCCCAGGGAGCTGCCTGTGCCTTCTCCTAGGACGGGAGAGCGGCGTCAGCCGTGGCCGTCTGCTCCTTCCTGTGCTTCTGCCGGCTCTTCAGCACCGCCGAGGCCGCCGTGTACATGTTCAGCATGAAGCGCTGCCCGCCCGGCATTTGGCCGTCCCACAAAAGGTACTCTGTCCGCGGTGGGACACTGGGTGCGGTGTCCCTGGTGTGGTCGCCGTGGGCCCTGGAGGTTGGAAGGGTTTCGGAAAGGGGTGGGCAGTGTGGGTGGGCGCCAGCTACCCATGCCGCCAGGCCTGTCCCTGCTGTGCCAAAGGAGCCCAGCCAGGGTGTCAGAGTCAGCCTCTCGGCCCTGAGTGGTGGGCGGTGCCTCTGTCCGGTTCCCGGGCATCAGCCCTTGTAGCACGTGTGCCCCTGAAGCCTGTGTCTGAGGTGACGGGCAGCACTCTGGCTGCCAGCTCTGTGCACGTGGGTCTGTTTGGGCGGGTGATGCTGGAAGAAAGGAAGGTGTTCAGGCCCTTCCTTCTGCCCTGGATGTGGCACAGCGTGTGGACAGGGGGCGGGGCGGGTAAGGGCTGTCCTGGATGCAGGGAGCCAGCCACCAGCTGTGTCCTGTGTCGCGGGAAAGTGGGCGAGGCCACCAAGCAGAAGGACTGCTGACCCTTCCAACATGTGACCTGAGTCTTTTAAAAAAATGTTTTTATTGATTTTTTTAGACTCAACTGCTCAGCCACACTGGCCAGGCTGTTTTCATAGATTTTGATCTTAAAATTCGTGTTACCCATTACTGCCAGGAGTATTTTAAAAAATGAGAATAATAGAGGATGATCCCTATTACATGCGTGAGCTTTCTTGGGCGTCAGTGTGGTGAGTTGAGTGCTGAGACTGACAGATGGCGCGCTGAGGCCTGGGAACCCACGAAACTCCGTCTGCCAGGAAACCCCGGCCTCGTCAGTGCAGGTGCCAGCCCCGCCTGCTGAGAGGGAGTCGGATCCCTGTCCAGCAGCAGCGAATACATTATTCTGGCGAGTTAAGCGATTAATTCTAAGAAGCATGTGTTTTTTAAGGAAAAATTAATAAACTATAGAGGGTTATTTTTATAACACTCAAAGGTTTCCTAAATGAGACAAAAATACACAAGCCGCCCTAACCGGTTTGGCTCAGTGGATAGAGCATCAGCCTGCGGACTCAAGGGTCCCAGGTTCGATTCTGGTCAAGGGCATGTACCTTGGTTGCGGGCACATCCCCA